GTATCCCGGAATTTGTTGTCGAACTTGAAAGCCTCATAGAAGAGTTTCAGCCATCGCCAACCTCCACACCACAAACTCCTTTGAAGTTTCAACCAAAGCTTTAGTCTTTTTGGACAAACGAAACTAACGATGCACCATACTCTTTCACATATTTTCTGGCATCATGGCCTCATATCTCGCCGTGGCGGCTCCATTAGAACAAAGTCAGAGCGTCAATTGCTATTTTTAGTTTTTTTTGTTTGTTTAGTCCTTTAAGATTCACATAAGTGCATTTTTGACCTCAAACTTTTTAATGTGTAGATAACTATTCGAATTAACCCCATAATTTCTTGATTGTTCATTCTAGTCAGTCTTCATATTTACAGGAATGGTCTTTTATATTTTGCTTGGTTTCATTTTTGCCTCATACTTTCAGGAATGGTATTTCATATTTTGCTTGCTTCAATTTTTACATCATATTTTCAAAATAAACATGTATTTTGTGTTTTTTAAATGTATATCATTCATGTACACGAGTACATAATGTCAATGTACATATGTACATGTGAAAGAGATATTTTTTTCTTTGCTAGTGTAAAGATGAGGAAGTGTACTATTATATGTAACATGTGTATAATCGTTGTTGTGTACATATGTACAATATTATATATTTTTTATGGACACATTTGTTCGAATATAATTATATGTTATATACGTGTACATGTGTACAATATTTGTTTTTGTAAAATATATTTCTAGTGTACATTATGTATTGTTGGCGTACATATATACGTGAATCATGTTTGACTTCACTTGCAAACATTGTTTATATTGGAATTCTTAAAAATGTACAAAACCCATAAGCCACATATATTTCACTCAAATTGAATACCTTTGATATGCTTTGTTGCAAAGACCTCAACTTTAATGAATAGACGAATCTAAAAAAGAACACTAAACCAAAATGAAGAACAATAAGTTGAGAGACATAATCTAGAACTCAATTTAGTTTGCACTATATGCAAAATGACACTATATCTAACATATAAGTCTATGTATTTATGATAAAATCAATTTAGTTATAATGTGACTATGTATATTCCATGTGGACACGTGGTGGTGTGCGTACATAGTGGTTGTTGGAGTTTTGTTGTGTGTGTACGATAGAGTGTAATGGAGTATATGTGTACGATAGAAATAGTGGTATGCATGTGTACATCAAATAAGGAAATTTGCGAGATATGGATGTTCCTCTGGTATGTACGACTTGGTTGTGTACATGATATGAGTTGTGCATATCCGTAGTGTTGTATATTTAATCTCTCTTATATTTTTTTTCCACACAATAAAGTTGTGCATATCCGTAACTGTGTACATGGATACATGCCGTAAAATTATGTATATATGTTAGTGTACATGTGTACATTAAGGATAGTGGTGTACATGTGTACAATATATACAGCGTACATGTGTACAACACTTGAAAAAAGTAGCAGAGCTACTTTAGAGTCAAAGGGGTCATCTGACCCATATCAAATCTATAAAATTTTAGCTATAGGTTTAGTAACATGCCATTTGTTGTGGTCTACTGGTAAATTTTTTCCTTTATGACTCACATGACTTGATTTTAACTCCCCCATATGTCATTTTAGCTATATATTAGCATATATTATGTTATTTATGTTGGATTTAGATATTTGTAAAGCATATATGTGTTCAATTTCACAATCTAAAAGTCTGAGAAAAAATTGAATAGAAATCTACATGTTTTAAAATTTAGTCACCAAATTATAAAGAAAAAATAAATTTAAGGACTAAAGATGCAATTATTAGAAATTTGACCATTGTTGATAACCTTTGATTCCGAACATAACGACAGAGAACGACATATTGAACTTAGATGTGGTTCTCTGATGATCAAAGAAGATAAGCATAAATCGACGGTGAAACTGCCAAAATCATGACGGATCTAACATGAAATTAAGTTGATGTAATCGAGGGTTTGACGGACGCAGATGAGTTGTGGTGTAGACGAAGTCGACATAGACGTGGGGGGGGGGATGAAGACAATGGCGAGGATGACCACAGCTGGAGCAGCGAGACATCTGAGCGCAACAAGGACGTCGTGGCGGTTTAAGGTTTGACGGAATGTGAAATCATATAGGATTTTTGGTACTTTAGCGGTGAATAAGAAAGACACAGACATCACGGCAGTAGTGATGTTGTGGTGGAAGAGAGACTAGCAAACTATGACCAGCCATGAATTTATGTTTGTTAAAATTTGGGATTCATTTACTGTGTTTTCTGTAACTATAGCAAAGAGAAAAAATAAAAAAAACATATATTTAATATTAAATAGGTTAAAGTTAATAATATTATATTATTTAGTTAGGTTTTAGTTAGATTTCAATTGCTTAATGAATTGGGAGATGTGAAACTGTGTATTTCGAAGAAAAAACTGTCTGAAAAGTATAAACTGTCTTATAATGTTATTAAAAAGTGAAAACTGTCCTGTGATGCAATATTTTCATTCATTTAACGGTTAAACTTTTTTGTTGACCGTTGACAGCGCTCTAATTCTTTATTCTAAGCTCTTTCTTTCGGTTTTCTCCTCCATTTGAATATTAGCTTGTCACTGCTTCAAGCAGAATATGAAGTGTTAATATGGACTATGGATTGCATGAAGATTCTACATATTTTGGAGATAGTGTTTACAACAGTCTATTCCATTAACAAAGATGGTGTCTAGACCACAAAGATAATCCGACTTTTACTACTTACATGGAGAAATTTTAATGATGTAAGGAATTTTATTCTAATTTTACAATTTAACATATACCAAAAAGGATTTTTAACATAGAAACCCCTCAACTAAGTTTGTTTTGGGTAAAAACCCCCTAAACTAAATATTTAATGAAAAAATCCCCAAAATAACTTTATTTAGTGAATTAAACTCTCACCGGTCATAATTACCAGTACTACCGGTAAATCTTCAGTTAGGGGTTTAATCATTAAACATAAAAATCAATAAAATTCAAAATATAATAACATTATCTAAAAATTTGTAATTTTAATTTTAAAAACTAGCATTTTAAAAAAAATTTTGTAACTATATGAGTCTGATTTGTTATCCTTTTAAAATCAAAATTATATATGTATAAATTTAAAATATAAAAACCAAGAAAATATAAGAAAAATTATCTAAGATTTACCTGTAATAAAAATTATCAAAATTTATAAATATAAAAACAAGAAACAGAATGAAAATTATATCTTATTTAATAAAAATGTAATAATAAAATTTTAGATGCTTTTTATTATATTTTGGTGTTTTAAATTTTTAATCTATATATATAATATTGATGTTAAAACAAATCAAACTCATATATTTACAAAAAGTTTGCAAAATGCTAATTTAAAAAATTTAAGTTACTAATTTTTAGATAATATTAAAAAAAAAAATTTAGATTTTAAATGATAAAAACCCTTCAACTATGTTTAATATGGGGGTTTACTTATTAGTTTGGGGTTATTACCCAAAACAAACTTAGTTAAGGTATTTTAGAGTTAAAAATCAATTTTACAAGGATAAGAAATCATTCATATATTTACAGAAAAAATTAAAATCCTAGTTTTGAAAATTAAAATTACGAATTTTTAGATAATGTTATTATATTTTGATTTTTTCTTTTTTTTTGAATTTTTATGTTTAATGATAAAACCCCTAAACTAAAGATTTACCAGTAGTACTGGTAATTATGACCGGCGATGGTTTAATTCACTAAATAAAGTTAGTTTGGGGTTTTTTCATTAAATACTTAGTTTACGGATTTTTACCCAAAACAAACTTAGTTGAGGGGTTTTTATGTTAAAAATCCTACCAAAAATAATGAATATTATTGTGGACAAATTTGCATGGGGTATTCGAATTTACCTTGAGTGTGTACGTTAATTCAATACCACCGATCTGCTATTCGAATCAGGGTCTTTTTAATGTAGAAAAAGCTATTGTTGTAAAAAAGCTCTTATAAATGTATCACAATATCCAATTTTAAGGTTGGTTACTAGAGATGAGTCTGAAGTCTATGCCAGTAAATTAGATTCAAAAATCTGAGTTTGTTACCGTTAAGTGCATCTATAACAGTTCTCAGTAGAATATTTGAAATCAAAACCACATAGATTAAAGTTATATTACAATGTTTCGATAGTAGGGTAAAGCTACGGCAAAAGAGTTGCTTGTCATTGTATTAAAATGGTGTAATGCGTACATGATAACCAAGATATACTTAACGAAATCTCTAATTATATTTTAGTTTCAGTAATACTTCGGTAAACCACATATTACTTAATATTGTTTCTATATTATAATTCTTTAAATAGACTAGATGAATACATGCATTATAAATTTCCAATAAAATCATACGTGATTGTGTGATTTGTAAAATAGATAAAACAGTTAACTAAGCTGATTTTAAAGAAAATGATCAGTCATTAATTTAAAAATCTATTTTGTAGGTTTTATGATCTTAACAGATTTGAAATTTAATATTACTTTTATATATTTGTATCTGTAGCTATAAATATCTGCAATATACTTTGGATTTTGTTTTATTAATTTAATCTTGAAAATTTATGTTCTTTACAAATGACTTAATATGCAAAAATTAAAATCACATAGTTTTAAATAACACTAAATTTTAAAAAATGATTTGAAATATTATTGAATAAAATAAGTTTTTTTATGATACATAATTACAAATATGTAAAAAGAATAGTATTTTACCAAAAAAATCTAATAAAATTAAAATATTATTTTAAATGATTAATTTAATAACATTATATTTGGATTTGAATTCTTATAAAATCCACGATTGAATAACATCCTTCTAATAAATACTGAAAGCTTTTTAGAATACACAGAAATGTATAAATTAGATAGATAGAGGATTCTAAAATCTTCTTAAATACTAGGGCACACAGAATAACAGTTCCATACTTCCAGAACCCAGAACCACCCATCTATGTTCCTGTTTAACTTCCAGGTTTAGATCTCTCAACTCATCATAGTATGTCTGCTTTTCCTGCTTTTTTCAAAACGAACTTCTAATGATAATCATTTTATATAACTTTTTGGCGAAAACAGTAGTTAGATCAAAACACGTTTAATTTTAGGTATAAACTAGATCAAAATTCTTGCATTAGATCATGCTAATCTTATAAAAAAGGTTCAGACAAAAGCAACTTTAATTTGTGGATTGTGTTTTGGTTTCTGTATTAGTGTTTTCGTTGCAAGTTGTTAATAAGTTGTTATACAGTGAGGTTTTTAGTTATATAGGCATGAATAATTGTCCCAAGTTTGTATATGATCATTAGAACATATTTTTCTACTTTCGTCAAACTATTCTGCTTTATTGTGGAATTCTATATTTTCAGTTTCTGGTTTAATGGGCTAAATCTTACAAGATATAAACAAAACTAGTTATATCTGTCTGAACTAAGTGAACTCCAACTTATTCTAAACACTTGTTCTTGACTTGGTTCTTTTTATCTTCAGATTTTATATTGACTTTCTTTGTTTTTAAACACGTTTAGCTTTAGGTATTGGTGACTGTAACAATCATCATGATGGTAAATCAAAGACAAGGGAAAGGTGAATACATTCAATGGAGACCAGAAGAGAGCAAATTGTTGATTGAGCTAGTAGCAAGCTGCTCCAAGGAGGGATGGGTTGATCACACTGGGAAAATGTTCAAGAAAACTGTTGAGACAAAGATACTTTCAGTTCTTAACGAAAAATTCAATAGCCGGAAGACTTATAAGAACTTTAACAACCGAACCAATACCGAGATTTTGTTAATCTTCTGCATTTTGATTCTAGGGTTCAATGGAATCCAATCACAAAGAAGTTCACGGCTCCTGATGAAGTGTGGCATGCTTACCTTAGAGTAATTATTTTTTCATTTTTATTTGCTTTTCTTCGTCGTGTAGAGTTATTATATATTACATTGTAGCTAATAACCATCCTTGTTTTGACTAGGATTTTCCTAATCAAAGACATATGCGTAACGAGACATATGAAGAATATGAGAATATGAAGCTAGTATTTGGGGGAATGAGGAGATTTGCAAGATTACATTCTCAACCATCTGAAGTGGGAAAGAACGAGATACTGAAACAAGAAGTGGATCTTACTAATGATGATGATGAGGTTCATGAAATTGGTGAAACCGAAACTGCTGATGATGCATTTGGTGATTCATCAGACGATGCGTCAGACAAGAACACTGATCTTTTAGTGAAGATTTTTGGGGAGATAAAATCAGTTGAGTCGGTCACTAAACAGATGCTTCACATAATTCAAGGAAGATCAATGGTTGAGGACAAGAAGATAAATGTTTGGGAAGCTATCAAAGAGATTCCTAATTTGTCCAACCATGTCCAGTACCAAGCTCTTTCCATGATTCAAAAGCTTCAAATGGGAAACATATTTGTTAGTATGTCTGTTGAAGATCGTCTTGGTTGGATTCAATGGAATACCCAACGAAAGACTTAACTAAAAAATAATAAATTTTCACAACTAAAATTGTAAATACATAAAAATCATTAAACAGAAATCTAAAAGTTTGGAATAAAAAAAAAGATCTTGAGGCTGCCAAATTTGTTTCATCTTCTCCATGAACCTATTGTTTTCGGCCATTTAAGCCAAGATTTTTGCATTTTGCTTCTCCAACGCTTCAATCCAATCATCTTTGTTCTTCAGTTGTTCGATAAGCTCAGGATCAGCAGTGTAGGTAGCTTGCATTGATAAAGAGGAACCTGCAAAAAAAAAAAAAAAAGAAGAATAAATTAAAGGGAATTTTTGGCACCAATAACCATAAAAAAAAATAAACAACTAACCATAACAACCTAATGTACAATATTCTATGTATAATATGTATTCATTTTCTTTTTTGTCCTTCAATTTCAGACGCACATTTTTTTTTTAACGTTTGTATGATAAAGTTTGTTCTCTTTTTCACAATACAATCATACCATTTTTTCCATCTTATGATTCTTTTTAGACGATAATGAAAATTGTATTGATTGAAAAGAATGTGTTACGGTCAGTATTCAATTGATGTTAGGAGTTTTCAAGGTTCCTAAGACAAATGTTGTAGTATAAGAGATTGTCGAACCAGTTCTGAGGGATTTTAAAGCACTGAGAATGCAAGTACTAGCTTAATCTAAGTGCAATCGAATAAATGATGGTTTTAAACTATAACTAAAAATAAGAAAAGCAATAATTAAAATAACTTCCTCGATTAAGAGAAAGGAGAACTCATGGGAGTAGGGATTAGATCTTGGGTGATCAAGTTTCGAACTAAGGATGGCAAATGATAAATCAAACTATCGACCTTAAGCCTAGACACAATTCTAAACAAGCTCTATGTCTAGATGAATGTTCATTTGCTAACATATCTCAAACATCAAATGTCTTTGGTTGAATAATATGAAAGCANAACAAGAATGATCTACACTAAAACAACCTAGAACTAACCTAATCACCCTTAATCTCCCTAACCCATGAATTCAAAAGGTGATTTACTCACTACACATCATGATTACTCTTAAACCCATTTTAGATTCAAGTTTAATCATGTAGATGATGAAATAGAAAAGTAAACAAAGGTTTTTCAATTGTTTTTCTTCAAGAACCAAGAATATCTGCCTGGTAGGCTACAAAGAGTAATTAAACTTAGGTTTTTCCAACTCAAAACATCAAAAACGAAATTGCAAAAAGGTCCTCAAAACAAGTATTTTTCGTCCAAACATAGGCGCGCAGCGGGGTCGCAACCCCGCTGCACAACCCCGCTGTGGGGCTTTCCATAAAGCCGAGCGGCCCCCCTGACTCCGCCCCGGGGGTCTGCTGTGGTCTGGGCCGACCCCCTGACCCCTCTGCCATGACCCCGCTCCAGGATGCTCGCCTCTAGTAAATTGGTCATAACTCCTTCATTATATCTTCAAACGACTTGAAACCACTTCCATTAGAAAGCTAACTCAATTTTCTATGTCTCCACAAAATATTAGCAATAGAAGATATCTTTAAAGGCTCCATCCATGCTCATCTTTCAGCCCCTTTTGGATCACAATGCTCCTAAACATCTCAAATCACTCCATGGCACATTCCAATACCTAATAAGGACAATGATTGCAAAATGAAACCTAGACATGGCTAAATCTTAATCTATATGATAAAAATGCTCATGGATGAATGGGTAGAACAATGCAAATATGCGAGATATCAACTCCCCCAAACTAGTTCTTTACTTGTCCTCAAGTGAACTTTCTAGAACTTATGGGAAAAGAAGTTTGAAGGTGGGAGCTCATAACCAAAAGAAACACATCTAAGAACTCAACTTAACATCCTAAAGAGACATTCCAAGTAGCATGAGCACACTCTCTTATCACACTCTAGCTTCTCTAGGCCTATCAACA